AATCGTTGAATTTTGTGCACGTTAGCACGTTATGGTTGTGATATGGTCTGGGAACATATGGGTAATAGTCACAAACTAAGGCTACGTTCACACTGCAGGTCTTAATGCTCAATTCCGATTTTTTGATCAAATCCGATTTTTTGTCTGCGTGTTCACACTACAAATAAAATGTGACAGCAAACGCGCTCTAGTGTGAACGCTCAAAGCGGCCGCATGCGCAAAAGAAGATGTCACACACAACGCGGTGTGTTTAGACCCAGAGCAAACAATATTGTTTGACTGATGGCCCTTAATATAAAGACTTCGGACTTTACGTTTCCCAATTTTTGCTTTAAGTTATTTTGTTATTTACATAATAATGTAGATAACGTAATATTATCCTTATTGCTGTTTTAGAGAGGAGCGGTGCTTCAAAGGATGGTTGCAGATTTCTGTCAGAATCTGCAGATTATACAGTACAAATAACATGCTCACGTTTCTCCAACGTTGTCTTCCCAACAGTTTCACTAACATCTACACTGGATGCCCAGGAAGCGTTCGCGATGTCTTCTCTGGCGCTGATAATTGGCTTCAGTCTTGTGTCGGTGACGTAAAAGGCGGATTTAATGCGACCTGACCGTTCACACAGCAGTCGCTTTCTAAAACATCGGATATGTATCGGATTCAGTACCACATACGAAAGTGACCCAGATCGGATTTGAAAATATCGGATTTGCGCCGTTCACACTGTCATACCATGATCGGATATGGGTCGCATAGGGTCAAAAAAATCGGATTTGATGCACTTTCGCCTGCAGTGTGAACGTAGCCTTAAAGACACCTAATCCTACAACCTTGTAGCCATGAATTTATTAAGAGAGACCTCACAGTTATAAAAGATACGTTGGCTGTGGTTGTAAGTCAGCCAGCAAAGACTGACTGACGCAGGCAAAACTTTTGAATCAAACCCAAGTCCGACAATATCTTTCAGCCCAAAAGACTCGATGACGGTAAAAATACTAATAAAAATTGATTAAATAAGATTAAATAAGATTAAAATAGAGAGGAAATAGTTTTCTTGCTAATCTGGAAACATTTGTTATGATAACTCAGATGATAACGATGAAGATCTCGCAGCCCGAGATCATCTAATCAAAGGCTGTTGGGAGTCCCACAAACTCGTTTTAAGACCAGAGGTGATAGATCTTTTAGAGCGGTGGCCCCCAGGTTGTGGAATGCTCTCCCTCCATCATTACGTTGCCTTGATTGTATTTATTCTTTTAAAAAGCAGCTTAAGGCTCATTTATTTAGATTGGCTTTTAATTAGATTTGTGCTGTGTGTTTGATTATTAATTTATTTTATGCATTTCTGTTTTATATTACTGTGAAGCACTTTGTGGTATTTATCCTGTGAGAAGTGCTATATAAATAAATTGATTTGATTTGATGATGTGTTCACTGAGCACGCATGATTTCCTCTGTGTTGAACAAAAGGAGATTCATTTGAAACCAGATATTTTAATGTAAAGACATAAATTAAATTGACAACAAAGCATGTTTAGCACTGTTGGCTCACAGTGAGAGGTTCCTACGGTTAAAAGAAAGTTCATGTTATTTGTCTCTGACATTCTTAATCTAAAAAAGTTTACTTCTTTAAATTAAAAACAAAAAACTGCTAATTTCAGCTCCTTTCCAGATGCCCTTCCTGACATAATTCCAAAGGAATTTGTGTTTCCTCCTGGCATCAAACCAGGAATCTTTTACTTAGGTTGGATAAAAGTGTAGACCACTATTGTGACAGTATGGAGTGACGAAGAGGACCCAAAATGCAGACACTAAGGAACGTGGAAGAAAACTTAACAGAAAGCAAGCCATTTATTAAGGCTGGGAAAAGATTACAAAACAAAAGGCAGAGGTGAAGCTAAACAATAACCTAAACTGGGGAAACTGAAGATAAACATAAAAATACCAAACCATGAAACTTGGTGTGGATACAAAGATACATGGCACATGGACAAGGGGAAGCAAAACTAGACACACTGCACATAGGACAAGGACTTTCACAATAAAACAGGAAACAGAGTGGAATGCAGACATGACAACACGAATGTGATAACATAGGACACACAGCATGAAACACATAAAGGGTGAGGGAAGCTTAAATACAGGGGTAGAAAACACAAGGGGAAATCTAATAAACAAATGAACCTAACTTAAGGAACTTAAACATAAACATCAACATCCAAAAAAACTAAAACTTGAAACGCTGGGTCAACAGACGCAGGAACGTGACAGCTACACTATTTAGCCAATTTCTTCATAAAGTTTATACAAAAATAGAAATGAATTATTAAAAATGAAAATTTGCATATCAATTAAAACAGCCCATGCAAGTGTAACATATAAAAATCAATGTGACTCCCTAATAATGAATAAAAAGTTGAACAAACAAAAACAAAGGTAAGCTGAGCATGTCAAGGACATAAAATCTATCAGCAAATTTATGAGAAGGCCCTGCATTATAAATGGGTTTCTAATAGTGATTTAAAAGAAGCCACTGACCAAGCAGGCCAGAGTGAGTCTGGCAGGTCGTTCAACAATCGAGGAGCCCAAACAGAAAACGCTCGATCGCCATTTATCTTTAAAAGTGAGGCTGGAACAGTTAGCGGGATCTCAGGCTGCACACAGGTCAGCACAAGAACAGCAGCTCTAGTGTGCACTCTGGAGCCAGGCCGTGAAGGGCTTTAAAAGGAGTCAGTAAAATCTTAAAATCAATTCTGAAACAAACGAGCAGCCATCGTAGACTCGTTAAAACTGACCTTGACGCCGCATCCTGAACAGTTTGAAGTCTATTCATTGATTTCTGATTGATACCTCTTTAAAAAGCCCATTACAATAATGCAAAGATGACATAAAAGCATGAATTTATAGCCAATCCAGATTTTTTTTTTCTGTGTACAGCGTGTATTTCAGCAAAAGTTAGTTTCTATGCTGGTGACAGGAGGAGGATGGGGGCTGAGTGCTGACTCAGTCTGTCCCCTGAGCCTTGACTTCTCTGGAGCACGAGCATTACTCACTAAATTTTCTCCAGTATGTTGTTACAGCTGTGCGTGGCATCGTGCCATCCTATAACACTGATAGTATCGTCTTTGCTCCTGAAGCCGTTTGCTTATTATAAACTCCTCGCGATCATAATGAAAGCAAAAGCCCGATCTCACATTAGTCCCAGCGCTGTGTGCAATTCCATTGATTTGTTTGCGGTGCATCTCTACACCATGTTTGCACATGCTGAGCCCAAAGTGCAGGTGTGCCAGTGCAACCAAGTGTGGGCTGCGAGGTTTGTGTGACTCGTACTACTGGCCGCCAGCACCCCTCTCTTCCTCTGAGAGAAAGGCACAGGCTGCCCGGTGCAGATAAAAGTGTGCAGATATTTCTGAGCTGTCCCGCTGAGGCAGACTTTATCTGCAGACTCTCCTGTTGGTTGTGTTAGTCGAGCCCTGGGTAATATTAATACCCCACTAATGAGCCCCTTCCTTGAAGAATCCGGAAAACAATCGGCGGGGATGGGGTGGGGCTGTGTTGGCGTGCGTGCTGAATCAGTCCTCTCCCTTGTGCCACAACTTCCCTACGGCTTCCCGAGAATGCTCAAACAAAAAGGAGAAACGCAGCTCCGATCACATTAATCATGGCCCGTGGAAGCACCGGCAATTGCTCCAGGCGCACGAGAACAAAAGTATCGCACGAGAGGAAGATGTGGAAGGAGAGAGTGGGGTGGGAGAAGCAATGAGCTCAAATAGGTGTGTGTGTGTGTGTGTGTGTGTGTGTGTGTGTGTGTGTGTGTGTGTGTGTGTGTGTGTGTGTTATATCCCCTTAAGCACACGGTAGGGAAGATGGCTAGTCAGGGAAGCTGTGTGTTGGTAAATGCCTAGTGCAGGAGAACTCAGCCATCTGTGACTGTCAGGAGAGTGTGTGTGTGTGTGTGTGTGTGTGTGTGAGTCTCTAACACCATCCTTGGATGACAAGGCTGTATTGATTAACCCTGATGGTTCCGTGTTGCAGCCGATCAGCATTTCAGTGTGTCAGCACGCGTGCGATAAATGAGCGCATGCGCTGTTGTAAGATATACAAGTGCTTGCAAAGAGTATATTATGTAGGCATGTGTGTTTATCATGTTAATGGGATTAGGTGCATTATGCAAAAATGAATAATTGCATGAAATGATTCATTTTTGTTTATGCTGAAAAGATCTGTGTGCATGCATGCATTTCTCTGTGTGTGTGTGTGTGTGTGTGTGTGTGTGTGTGTGTGTGTGTGTGTGTGTGTGTTATGTGGCCTCAGTTAGCTCCAGATGAAGATGTCCGTCGCTGCTCTATCGGATCCCATCAGTATTCAGCGGCAGTGATGCCAGCCTTTTCACTTAAAGGGGAGCTGGGCACAATTAGCTGTTAACATTACATGGCAGAATTAAGCCCGGCCAGTATTCCCCAGGGAAATTAAACCACCGGCAAATCATTAAACCACAAGCTAAACATTAACAGCCATTTGCATTTTTATTGCACCTGAAAAGAATGTGCCAGGTCCGTTATCTCTGAGAGACAGAGAAGGACTCCTTATTTATTATTGTTATGTTGTCTCTCGTGTGAAACACAATGGCATTTATACAGGAAAGAAGCAGCAAAATGAGAGGCTGGAGGGTTTTTGTTTTTTTTTTGGAGTGTTATGATTACAAATTCGAACATGGCTGGCAGAGGATACAATGACTTGTTTGTTATGCAAATCCCGGTGCTTTCATCCCTCCCAAAAATAAACAATTCCAAACAGATGACAATTTGCAGAGGCGCTCAGCTGAGTAAGGCCGGCAGTTTGGTACTGACAGGCTCGTACCGTCTGCAGTGTCACCGCTGCTTGAATGAAGAGGCTTTTAGGAGCAGGAAGTGGATACGGTGCCACATAAGTGGTGATGAAGAGGTTCTGGGGAGAAGTGAGATCTTCCTTTCTAATCTCCTCTCTCTCTTGGGCAGGTGAGCGGGATGTGCGGACAAACTCCTCAGCGGGCCTCTCGCTCTGTCGGATCCCCTCCGTCCCAGCCTCCGGCCGCCGCAGCCCGTGGGGCTCAGCCGTCATCCTCGGACCCCGACGAGACGTTGGCAGACCTCCGCAGGTGAGGAAATCGGGCGCCAGGACGAGACCTCTTCCTATGATGAAGCGATTCTCTGTCTCTCCAGGGTGCCATGGGGCAATATTTTTCCCTGACAGACAAATATTGCCCCTGACGCTGTCGACAGGTTCGCTCCTGCTTGCGCGCGATGCTTTGGCTCGGTCTCTCTCCGCTTGAGTGTTTTTTTTAGCACTTCTGATGCAGTAACAGGCTTAAATGAACAGTGTAATGACGCCCAGCGGGGGCTGCTGGCCTCAGCAGCACAATGGCCAGATTAATGTCAATTAGGAATAGAGACACTGCTCATTTTGGCCTCTTTTATTCTCTCCTTCTCCAGGGGGATCTAATCGAGTTGCTTTCGCTGCTATCAAGCTGAATTCCCTCTCTTGCACTTTCCCTGCCTCCTTTCGCTTTTCCTGCTGTTTTCTTCTCCGCTCACTAACAATGGTGTTAACTGACGTTTGTATTCTTTGCCTTTGTGTTTCAGGGACTTCATAACCAGCCTGAGAGGCTTCAGCTCCTTTTATAGTGGTCTCGGGGAGGCCTTATGCAGCCGCGAGCCTGCTCCAGTGAACCACTCCCTCTGCTGGAACGGGCAGGAGATGACAGACAGGTAAGGCGGGGGTCTGGTTTTTGTTTGCAGACTGCGAATCAGCACTTCACAGTTTATTGGCTCTCTCTAAATGATCGCTTATGCAAACACTTTGCTCCCATTCTTGAATTCCCAGCCCTCTAGCTTCACATCTAGGAGTGTAGGTGAACTGAAGGGCAAGTTTTCCCAGAGCTGATGAGCTTCCCACAAGGCCCCCCCACTCCCACCGTCTCACCCACTGAGTGCGAGTGTAAATCTTGACTTTGGCTCTATGGGATGTTATTAATGTCAGGAACACTGTCACCTTCTTCTCGCTTAGTTAATTGCCGTTTCGATCGCTCTCTCCTCCTTCATCCAGCGTCTCCTGTGCACCCCGCAGAACAGCATTCGGTTTCCACAATATTTCATTTCACCCCTGTCCTTTGGCTTCACACATCACAACTCTCAGCGCTCTTTCCGCCTGCACCGTCAGCTGGCCCCGATTTCAATTTGGCTCACATAGTTACAGATATCATAGGATTTTTAGGCTTTTAAATCATGTGTGGAATTAAATGCACAAATTCTAGTATAAAAGCACTGGGGGATGTTTTAAGTCTTGTTCCCAAGGATGAAGGAGAATAAGTTCAGTACTTCTTGCACAAAGATATAAAAAAAAAAGAACCCGAGTCTGAGGAGGAGATATCAGGCTGGCAAGGGGGCAGAGCTGTCCTGAGGGGATGATTACAAGCTGGACCAAGCAGTGCGACAGGAAGGTGCAGGGGAGGCAGGAACAGGAGACAAAATGATGGAGAGATTACAGTGTCTCGCGGCAAGCAATTCTCCATGTCACCTGCGAGGGCATATGTCTGCAGATTCACTCTGGTGCATTTTCACTTCGAGATTTGTTCTGGATCATCTTCCATTATCTCCTGAGATAGGACCTTCTTCAGAGCCAAATGTGGCATTCATTCAGTGCATTGTCTCATGCAGATAAATTTAGACCGGGTGGGTGGGGAGGATAAGCACTGGAGGGGTCGGGTGCTGAATGTCTCTGATACTTGAGGAGTGATCTGTGGAGCTAAATGAGGCGCCTGTTATCGGGCTCTGTTTACCATCACACCTGGAAGCCAGATCAGAGGAGGAACACTTTTCACCACATCAAAGAGTGTTACCGTGCTAACTGTGATAAAAACGTAACGCCGTATCAACTCAAAACATTCCTCTTTTGGATCTACTGACAGTGTAAATTCATGTGTGTGAGATAATTGATTCAAAGATAAGATTCGGTGTCGACCGTGAATGTTTCATTTTGGGGATTGTGACGATGGAGTCTGAGAGGAGGTCAGAAGATATCATATTTAAAGAGTTTCAGCTGCTGCCATGTTGATTTTTGCAGCCAGAAATAAGCAAATGTGGTCCAGAAGGATAGCAGCAAGACTGAAAGTTAAGGTTTACAAGGTGGTAGTGAGACCTGATGCAATGTATGGTTTGGAGATGGGAGTGACCAGAATGGACAGCAGTAGAAATGAGACTATCAAGCTGGGAAGGTTTGAACATGTGCAGAGAAGGGATATACTGGAGAAAAGGTGTTGAAGATGGAGCTTCCAGACAGGAGGAAAAGAAGAAGACCTCAGAGAAGATTCATGGATGTAGTGAAGGAGGTAGAGTGAGATGAAAACAGGAGAAAGGACATAAAGATAGAGTGCTAAGTTAGCGAGTTAGCTGTCCCTAGCCAGCTTAGCTAGCAAGCTGCACCCGTGAAGCACAGACACTTGCTGCAACAGGCACCAGCAGTATAACACAGATAGGTGGAGTCGAGTTCTAGGTCACAGCCCAACTGTAAGCCTAAATCCACATGGATGGGAGCCGGATTCAAGTGGCCACTAAAGGAACTGCAGTTTTTGGGGCTTCAACTCTGTTTTCAGCCTCAGTGGCTGCCACATGCTCCGTGCCCACTGTCATCCTTTAGCATTGTGTTAAATTATAGTTGTCTGAGAGCCTACAGCACATGCTATGCTAAATGTCTTGTGAGGCCTTGAGTTGAGTCAGATACGACTCTTTATGCTAACACTCTGCCAGCGGCAATGCTATTTAAATATATAGACACTTAAAGAATAACAGAGCCTAATGGGAAAGTTCAGAGTTTTTAAGATTGTATCAAATTTATTTTTAAAAACTGGTTCTACTTAAAAAGGTGAAGAAAGTTGAAGCATCACCAAAGGTATTTCCATTCTTTCTGAGGAAAACGTGAATTCCCTCAGCAGATTTAATCTAATTGTGTAATCAGAGTCCCCAACTTTTCTTTACAAGGAAGAAATGCCATTAGTGCCAAACTGGGTCAATAAAAAGCAGAAATGGTTTGTCACACTCTGACAGACTCGACTGAATTCATGACAGCTGATGTGATGTGGTACATGTAAGAATTACTGTGGCCCCAAAGACATCATACACAATAATGCATATCTGTATATATGTTTTTTCAGTCACAGTTGATTTAAAGCAAATGATTTAGTACCTCCGTCAGCTAGAACAATTTCACCCCACCCTCAAACATTAACCTCATGGTTTAAAGTTAAGGCAACGCGAGCTTCATAGTCAGTGTCATGTTTCGTCTTTGCATGTAGGGTAGCAAAACCAAATTTTACGGCAATCCATCAACAATTTCTGAGAAAGTTCAACCTGGACCAGTACAGACTGGCCAAGAATCGAGATAAGTCGTTTCAAGGAGCCATTAAAAGGGAACCATTATCCTCTCCCTTAGAGTCTCCCATGTGAATATGCTGTTACTGAGGTGGATGCTCATATTACAAATGGTCAGTGTTTCAATGATTTCAGCATATGTACAATAAAAGCTAAGGCTTTAAGAACGTTTGTACCTGCCATGTGAACGGCACCGTATGACAAAGTTAACGTCAGACTGTCGCTGGCAGCACTTTCTGCCGGTCGTGCACCGCTTTTTGAAACCTGTTGCTACGGCAGCTAGGATGAATAAAACGAGTGCATAATTGTGTCAGTTTTTACCACCATTTTAATGATACATTAGTACAGAAGGGCGGAGCTACTGATGATGTAAAGTAAGCAACTCCGCCCACCTGCTGTTCAAACTTGACATTTACAAGGGGTCAGCCAGTTGGAAGAAATCTGGCTTAATTTAGTTTAAAGGAAAGGGAAGGATTGAGGATTAAAGAATAATGAGGATTATGTTGAAGTTAGAATCATGCAGCGCTCCAAAAATAAAAGTATAGAGCATAATGCGCCCACTTTAATGAGACTTAAGTTCACCCACCCGCTGCTCCATCACAGCTGTTTGTATGAACTCTGAATTTTGTGTTTTCTCAGTGCGACATTAAAACAAAGGAACAGTGTTAATAATCACGTGTGTGTCTGTGTTTGTGTGTGTTAGACAAGATTCTTAGGCACAGAAAAAGGTGTTTGTATAAACGTGTGTGTGTGAATGTGGCTTGTAGTAGGACGTGTTCTTCTACTTCTGCGGGTTATTTTGCTGCGAGAGATGGCAGCCTCACACTGGACCTAATGGCAGCGTGGTAATTGGTGTTACATTAGATTAAGTTATCGCAAGCATGAGGCGATGTGATCAGCTCTGCTGGCAGCGAACAATAACACAAGCAGGATTGGATAACGAGCCGAGAGTCGACAACTGAGACTATCGGCGGTGAAAAACGGTTTAACGGTGAGACACGCTAAATTATATTGTGGTAAAATTATCTGACAGGCACTTATCATGTGAAACACTAACCTGCCTCGGCTTCTTATCGTCACTCAAAATCTCCCCGTCCTAATCCTCCCTCCTCTTAACCATATTTCCTCTTTTCCTCTGCTTAAGTGATCACACGTTTTTCCATTATTCATGTGATAATTAGCAGCGAAGAAGGGATGAGATCATGGATAATAAGAAGAATAAATAACTGGGGAAATGTAATTTGAGTTTAATGAAAAGTCTGACTTGGAGGAGAATGAAAGACTGATGAAAAGAGACGGCAGCTCATAGGTGTGTGTGAGTGTGTGTGTGAGTGTGTGTTGGGGGAGTGTGCACACAGGGCTGTTTAAAAGAGAGAGAACAAAGGATGACCTCATACTTTACACACAAACACACACATGTGCACAGATTCTTTTTTCAAGGCCCCTTTTTCGTTCTCGCTAATCTACTTCCTCTAAAATAGTTCGCCATTCATCTTTTCAAACATTTACAACAACACGGCAGACGACATTTACGCTGCAGCGTGACATCCACTGCGGCACCTGAGAGAGATGTCTGATTCAGGTTCACCTAAACGTGCTCGTCTCAGTCAAGCAGAATTAGCCGGTCTCATCCTTCTGAGCGTGCGGTGAGGAAGGGGTTAAACCCTTGGGACTGTCAGAAGTGAAAAAAAAACCCACACCTGCAGGAAAGTCTCAACATGAAAGAACAGCTGTGAAGAAATCTACCTTTCAGACATCCCAGCTCCTCCTCTTCATAGTGTACACAAGTGTAAACAGAGCAGCACTTCCTCAGTCGTACATTTATGCATGTAAGAGCCTGCCCGTGTGCTGCTTCTACCTAAATATACCCTCACAGCTAAAGCAGGGCAAAAATACATCTCTGCTAATGTTCTCTCATTAACTTCAGATGATTAAAAAGCTACTAACTGAGCAGATAATGTGCATGAAATTAATCAGCAGCCAAACTTTACATGATAGTTCAAGATCTTTGAGGATGTTGTCGGCACCCTTGAAACACTTAAAAATGTCAAAGAAGGTGGTAATGTAACAGCCTGCCTCTTAAAGGCAGATGTTCAGAGTTAGCGTGTGATGAGTGATGAATTGCAGCCTTTATAACTACATTAACAACATTAAGCTGTCTTTAAACAGCAGATCTTGGATAAATATCAACCCGCCTCTGGTTTTGTAGCTGTAGCTTCTCCATTGAGGGAAAAGTTGGTTCTTTGGTCAGAGCTCATTGACAAATGAGTTTTTTAGCTCAGGAAACTAAAACCCAGAAGACCTGCGATTCCTCTTATCAACACTAGATGGTGATAAAATCCCTGTTTGTGTCTTCCACAAAGGTAGCTTAGCCTGAAGTCACTGAAGCTCTTCAGAGTTTCATAAACATAAGGCTTATTTAAGCATTTTCTTCCCGTCCTTTCAGATATCCTGGGCCCGGCCTAAAACGACTGCACCCCAGCTCCGAGTCCAGGAGCAACAAGCCGCCTGAGCCGGTCATCAGCCAGATCATAGACAAACTCAAACACATCAACCAGGTGAGCTGTGCTCTTTTATTTCCTTCATGGTTATAGCTCCGGCTCTGCAGAGGTGGGATAGTCCACTCTCCCATTAGCTCTGCTTCTTGGCTCACAGTTGGACACTGATTCCCAAGCTGCTGGAGGCCCTGCTCTGCAGCTCCTGTGGGGGTCAGCACAAGCCAAGTAAAGATTTTAAGTGAGGATGCTTTGTTTACTATTTTGCCCTTTTAAAACACAGCAAAACACTTGTGACTGGAAACTGTTTTAAAAAAAAGCTCTTCCTGGACACAAATTCTCCCGCATGGCAGCCAGAATATGAAAGGATGCGTGTCCTCCATCCACAAAAGGCCCAGCTGTCATCAAGGCCGAAGCCCTTGTTTTTTTCCCACCACTTCCGCTGGCATGTAAACCACGGTCGGGGCAGGCTGGCTTTGTTCAGAGATGCAGGATCGAACTCACGTATCAGCCCACAGATCTGCCGGCACTTCCTGATTCTTGGTGGTTGCACTTGTAGCTGTCAACACTTCTAGCTGACTACCCCTCGCCCCCTCCCGCATGCATACACACATATGTGTGCATGTTAACACGAGTCTGTTTGAGCTTTAGGATGTTGTAGCCCTGTCAAGGTGGATTCCCCTGTTTAAAAGGGAACCTGGGAGATCTAAGAAGTAGCTCCGGACCCTTCTGCACTCCCCGCTGACAACCAGAGAGCCTCAAGAAAAAACAAAATTGAGAGGGCTGTGGGTTGAAACTAATTCTATCATTTACTTCCACAGTATTACTTCATTCATATGTGTCAGACGCCTCCTGCTGCCTTCAAACGCCACCATACCTGATTCATCCTGGCTCTACATACGTTGGGCAGTTTAAACGCTCATTCCTAAAAATGTGGGTCTTATTTTTTTTTATAGCTTTGGCCATCTTTTCTGTGAGCTGTGAAGACGTTGGACTCACCAGAGAAAGTTCCTGACATTCACTGGGGAAAGAAAAACTGTTTAACCATTTTATTTGGTGCTAAAACGCAAAGAAAGCATAAAATGTCAATAATAATCCCTAAGTGCAGAGACCAGTGTAAAATCAGTGTGATCACCTGACTGTGCATTTTTTGCCCTTTCAGCCTTCTTTGGAGCAATTTTGTACACTATTATTATAAGTAGGAGTGAGAGCCAAAATGACCAAAATAAAAGCCAAGCTGTAATAAACCTGAATTATCCTGTAAGCTTAAAAACACAGGACATACCCTTTAATGTAATAAGCCTTTCAAAACTTCCTGCATCGGCACAGATAAACAATTGTAGCCATATGATTACAAGCAGAGCTGCTGCAGTGCAGACTGTTTACCATGTGGATCGAGGTCCTGATAGGCTTTTGATGAGATTTTGCAAGAAAATGCAGTTTAGTGAAATGACTGAGCTCATTGTGTTATAGACATTGAGACAATCCCTTGGAAGCATGAACTCAGTCAAGTCATATGTTCTCAGTAACCTAATTTCCATTTCTAATTGGCTCCCATGTTGCACTGATGATGTGGCAAACATGTGGACATTTATGGGGTTTTGATTCTGTTTACACAATCGGTTAATATTTATGCAGATTGACCATTCGCAAGGGAGCTTTTAGTCTCATATCTGATGACCGTGCAGCAGAGTCAAGTGTGTTTCTGCTTCGGCTCCCCTTCCCTTCAGATCTTAACTTCAATGGCCTGGATTAACATCTGACAAAAGAATGACTGCACTTGATTGCATATTTCATGTGCAGTAAAACTGTTCATGGCTCACAGCCATGCTTTCCCTCCCCCCTTTTGTTGCAGAAATTGGTTTTAAAAATATTAGTGTAATCCTATCACCATTATACTTGGGCGTGCAAAATGACAGGAACACCTTGTAATGTTGTGCAATCTGCTGCAACAGTCCTGCTGTAAATCAGCCCACTGAGAAGTTTAAAGTATTGAAATTTTAGGGGAAGATGACTCACCGAGTTTATCTTGATAGTAATTTGTAATTTTCTTGTAACATCTCTTATCAAAACATATGAAACTAATTAGTTTTCATAAAAATAAAATTACTTTTGCTTTAGTTGGAGCTCTGAGACACAATAAAAGTGCTAATCTGCACAATGTCCATTTGCCTGACGTTGTTGTTAACATGGTAATAGATCTAATGTTTATTATTGCCACTGTGGGGGGGT